ATCATTTGAAAGGGAAATAACAAATTCACGAATACTTTATACAATTACAATGTATTTTCAATTACACATTACTTTTCTATTGAACACAATTCAAGAGTTTACTGAAGTTAATAAAGTTTAGGATAGAGTTTTCCACTCAAATAATATTCCAACTTTTAATATGAGATAAAAATTGTTTTAATTTGTGTTTAGTTTCAACATTCAGTTTTATGAGTTAAACAGTGAAAGTCTGGTAATTGAATGAATGGTTAAATTGACCACATATTCAAGTGATACAAATTTACAGACAATGAATTGTGTTAATTGTTTGTTCATAATATTATGCATGTGTGGTCTGACTGTCCGTATGGACGCTCTCGGCATCGATGAGTTTCCGTGCAATGATTCCGAAGAGTTTATGTCAGCATTGGATCAACTGATGGCAACAAACATATCACATCTAAATACTATGTTCACGGGATTTGAACAGATCTTAATACGGGTTAAGAAATCGGATTTAAACCATTCATTGATATCAGAGACAGATATGTATTATATGGAGGGCGACGGCGGGGAAGCTATGAATACAATGCCGATTATGTTTCACGTATTCATTACTCTCTATTGTATTCATTTACTTATTTTCTACTGTCATCTGAACACCGATTTAAGTAAATATGCGTTAATTATTGTATATTTTCTATCATTTATTAACTTTTAATTTATTAATTACAGAGCGTTTTCCTCGACTCCGACGCGCGATAACTAATAAGCGATAAAATATTGTCTCAATTCTTGTCATTCACTTTATTTATACACTTTTTTCCATTCAATTCAAAACATATTGTGTTTCACTTTTTATTTATAAAATTTATTGATTTATTGAATAAGAAATGCAAAGTTTTAGTCAATTAATTCTCAATATTTTTTATCAATTTTTAATAATAAATATAAAACATTTAATTAAAACTAAATAAAATTAATAAATTGCGATTGAAAACAGATAAATAATACAGAAAATAGTGTTATAATTGTATTTCAATAGTACTTTATATAATGAGTATTTTGATGAGTCTTTGAGTGATTTGGATGACAACCAAAACACAGTTAAGAGTCGACCGAAGAGCGCAATAACAGCCAAATGGCCGCTAATATGCAAAGCCATGGATCACTTATCGCTCGCGTGGACTCGGATGGAGTGGTCGCACAGCCGAGAATGTCTTCGTCAAACTTAACATTTTTCTGTAATTATAAAAACACTTATCAAACAGTCATTGCCTTAACATCCGGTTTAAATACCTCTTCAGTGAATTTATTCAACGTTGCGTTGAAACTCAATATCTGGTGTTTCTTGGGATGAGATGACACGAGAAGAGCGTACACATGGCTATTGAAACGGAAGAATCCCGCATAAGGAGGGCCTTCGAGTGCTATTTCGGGCAACGCTTTCATCGATGGATCAATTGAAACGAAGTATAGACGCTGTTCGGGCTGTTTGTACACCAAGAAAATGATTACTTGATTTTGTTCATCAAAAGCCGACGCCAAGTATCGGTTATCTTTTGTTGTAGTCATTGGCCACACATTGGGCACCACTTGAATGGGTCCCTCCAGTGACATGTTGTAAGGCATCGGCCACTTGTTAGGGGCGGGAACGAGTCCAAAGTCGGGGCCCAACCTATAGGCCACATATGACTGAAGAGGAGTGGACGCGATGTCGCCGATCACAAAACCGGTGTCCAAGAGTTTGACGCAATCCACGGATGCCTTGCAATTGTCCGACACTTTGGTCACCAAAAATCCCGTCTCTATTCTCTGAAACTCTACGAATGAAAACATACTTCAGTTAATAATAGACTAATGAATTGATTGAATGGTCAGAGACTTGGCTGGAAATGGACGCTCTGGTCGACGCCTTTAGTTCCCGCGAACTTCTTGTCCACCGATTGCTTGTAATATAACGAATCCTTTTTGATGTAATTGGTGTCAGACATGAAGAAGATCTTCTGTATATCGTGTGAATCGGAACAAAAGTCTTGACCATTGGATACAATTAAGTCACAAATAAAGAGATAAAACACACAAATGGTCTTCATTTTCATGGATTCAGTTGACTGTCAGTTAAGTGTTGGCAATAATTATGTGTCAATTCATACAGTTTTGCCGTTAGTTTTCAAATCAATCACTGATTCTCTGCTATAATGGTATGAATTGTGTTATAGTTTTCGAATACAGTCTACAATAGATTCAAACGCGAGAAACAATAATGATTGAAGTTTTTGTACAGTGTATAGCACGCAAACACCCATGGTCAATCGCGTGCCTAATTAATGCTATTTATACTGCACAACAATTAAACTGAAATGTTAATAACATTTTTTTTGCTATAATTTTTTACCTAATAAATCGTATTTTTACCACAAATCAAATCAGTCTTCAAAAGGGTTTCAAAACTTTACAAAACTATCAATTAAATGATTATCAGAAACTTTTTCAGTAATTTTGAAATGCATTTTATTTTCAAAATTGATTAAAATTTAAAACTTGAAAAATGACTCACAATTTGTCAGTAATTAAATCAATGATTGGACGACGAGATGAGTGGCAATGAAAGGCAAGCAGTGGTTGAGGAGAAAGAGTGTCGTCTCTGTCACGACAGTGGGGGCGACGCCGAAGACCTACTGAGTCCGTGTCAGTGCTCCGGGACTATGAAATACATACACAGAGAGTGTGTTAAGCAATGGATGTTCACTTCGGGACAACTTTACAAGTGTTCTGTCTGTAAGAGTCGATACAAGTTTAGGGTTAGAGTGGATCGGCTATCACTCGACCAGTATCTCCAGCACAACGGCCACCGTTTGACCGCTTTTCTTGTGATCGTTTTGTACATCACTTTTCTGATCACCAAATGTTTGAATCAAATGACTGACAAACAGGTGGAGAGCGTATGGATTGACAAAATACCGATGGTGTCCTATGTTTTTGGCTCTTGTCGACCGGCTTTCAGACGTCTCTGTGTCTCAATTATCTACAAAGTAATCATTTATAGCCATTCGTTGAATTTGTTGGTCGTTTGGACACTATTTGTCCAAATTTGTTATTACATGTGGAGAACACAATTCAATGACATCCATATCGTTGATTAAAATCCAAATCAAGTTTGAGTTTTAAAGTTTTATTTATTAATTGAAATTCAATTATTGAATAGATGTGTGTATTTTCTTCAATCCAAACCATATAATGAGTTAATATTTTGATTTAATGCCATCAACTTATCCCTCGCGACACCTATTTCTTTGGTGTATTGTCTAAAGACCTCCACATTTCCCGATTCAAAGTCCTTTATGTTTTTGATATCATTAAGGGTTAGCTTAATGTCGTAATCCCTTTCCAATCCCTGTTATAATTCAATGGCAAACATAGAATTGCGAGTTTTATTATACATATTATTTACAAAAATAATTTAATTAATTTATAAATTATAAAAGTGCTCAATAAATTGGGCGCATTTATAGCCGACGAGTATCGCCGCGGAGGCGGTGTTACCGTTGGGTATAACTGGAAATACAGAGGCGTCGCAAACCCTCAGATTTGCCGCCCCCTTAACCCTTAATTGGGGGTCGACCACAACATCCGGCCTCTCTATCGCACCCATACGACAGGTGCCCGACGGATGGCCGCCCGTCACCGTATTATACTTAATAAAACACTTCAATCCGTCCACACATTCATACAAATATTGTTTATCCGGACAGTCGGGACACCCGATGGCCGAAAATGGTGGCAATGGCTGTATATAGTGGGCAAGTTGTGTTCGTTCGTGCACGTAAAACATGATGGTCACCGCTTCTAACATGTTCGCTTTGTCTGCCGCATTTGAATACCAATTGGGATCCATTAGTGGGGGCAACAGGGGATCAGTTGACTGCAACATTATTGTGCCCCCACTCGTAGACTTCACTAAATTAATTAAAGCAGTAATTGAAGGGGTATTTCCTCGCAGAACTTGAATCTCAACGTTTGGCCACTCTTTGTCTCGGTTTGAACGTGTGTTCAAATATGAAGTCATCAATGGTAGCGATGCCAACTGTCCGCCGCGATTATAATATAGCTGGCTCAATTGGTGAACATTTATTTCAGGTATTGGGTTAATCAATGATAAATATTGGGGCTTCAGTACTGCATGTAGATCAACAACAGGGTGATTTTGAAAATTCAGTCCCACCGGTAGGTCCAATACAACAGGTATTTTAAAGCGTTTCAAATGCTGTTTAGGACCAATGCCTGAGAGCAGCAATAATTGCGGGCTTTGAATGGCACCTAAATCGCGGTAATGGTTATCAATTAACTAATTATCTATCACTCAATTGTCTTAAATTTAACATTTATTTGTTATAGTATTTACCGCCGGAAACAATGACTTCTTTGTTGGCGTAAACCGTATACGAGATGTCATTTACTATAAACTCGACGCCAATGGCTGTCAACCCATTGAATAGTATTTTAGTGACCAATGCTTTACAAACTATTTGCAAATTATCCGGATGTGGGTTCGGGTCCACAAATATATTCCCCGTTCCCGTTCTCAGTCCCAACTAGTTTACGAACGATTGGCTTATTGCATATCCCGTCTGATTCGGACCATTAATGTCGGTTTCCTTATATCCCAATTCATTAAATGCATTAAAATATTTAAAAAGTATTGCATCAGGGTTGTTTGGTGTAGAGATCTGAATGGGTCCACGAGTGCCGTGATATTCGGGTTCGTTGTGTACTATAATAGGGTTAGTATTGTTCTCCCACTCCCTGAACACCGGCAACACATCCCTATAACTCCAACCGACGGCACCGTACGTATTGGCCCACTCGTCATAATCCCTGCTATTACCCCGTATAAAGCCCATGCCGTTGTGCGCTGAACTTCCACCTAGAGTTTTGCCTGCATTTTCAGGAACTTTTCCACCGGCAAACTGTTTGCCATAGTTTTTGTTTGGTTGATAATAATAATACCAATTGAGTGCAGTCATACCCACAGCCTTATGATTCATGGCCGGTATATCATTATAAAGAGCACTTTGTGGTCCGCCCGACTCTAACACTATCACCCTGGTTGATTTATTAAGACTTAGTTTGTTGGCCACAATCGCACCGGCAGTGCCGCCCCCGACAACTATGAAGTCGTATGTTGTGTCCCATTGAGTGGCGGAACAGGTGTTGTCGTGTATGACCTGACGTTGGGCTGTAATCCAAGCGACAGCCAGTAATTTGTACGCAAACGGAGTGATCATCATATTTAACGTGTAATTCAATTTGATTAAATAATTTATACTGTATAACTTTTAGGATATGATATGGATACAACTTTATTACAATTGTAACATATACAAATTAAATTGTAACATGTACAGTTCTTTTAATAGTAGTGGTAAATTAGTGTAAAAGTGACACTTTTATAAAATTTTATTTATAAAATTTAATATGTTCCATTTTTAAATGATAAAACACAGGTACAGTTGACGCAAAAAGTCTTGCACCACGGGCTTTTCGATCATAATTAATTAATTGTGGTACATAATTAGAATTTTTTAAAAACATCAAGTAGGAATAACATATTTGTTCAAAATTAGTCGCTAAATAAATGTGAGGAAAGACAACAACTCTTCGCACAAATCGTCACCAAATCTATCGAAAGACTCTTTGCTATAGATTTGTGGCATTTTTGTGACACGAAATGATTAAATAATACAACAATTAAATTACTACATAAGCAAACATTTAAACATTAATTCTACGATAAATATATTCTTCAGTTTTCAAAAGGTTTAACTCTCCACTGCTTCTCGACATTCACTGAATATTGTGTTTAAAATATCGCAGTTTTAACTAAAAATATGTGAAAAACAAAAGGATTACTGGTTTTATCAAATGATATCGAAATGTAATTATAATTAAATCAATAAATGATAAACAAAATAATTTGTGGTATACTTCAAATATGTATTTACATAAAACAGGGATGCAATGGATTTGTTGTTAATCTAATCTAATGGCCTTCAATGGGCTTAAGAAAGAGTTTAATTGAGTTTTCATATTCATAGTTTTGGATCCGTTATACAGTTGACGCAAAAAGTCTTGCACCACGGGCTTTTCGATCATAATTAATTAATTGTGGTACATAATTAGAATTTTTTAAAAACATCAAGTAGGAATAACATATTTGTTCAAAATTAGTCGCTAAAAATATTAAAAACCATACACAATTAAAATAAATTCAGGATAATCAATTAATTAGTGCGCAATAAGTCTTGCACCTTTTGATTTTCGGTCAATTAATGGCCAGAATCTTTACCGAATTCTAAAAAAGTTTTAGAAAATCGGTTTATGATATATGCACCTATACTTTCGGAGAATAATATTGGTAATTTTGATTATAATTGGCCATCGCCGCCGCATATTCGGTAAAAACTAAATTAGTGTCCATTGCGGTAAATCAGCTGGATTAGAATGCTAAAAAGCTGTCAATTATTTTATCACATAGTAAAAAATGAAAATATAACACTTTTAATTAATTTGGGATAACAAAACCCGACCCGAATGCCGATAATACGTGTAAACCGAAAAGTTCGGGTAGTTCTTCGGGTCTCCAGCGCTGGCCAGTGATCAATATTAATGTATAAGCGTATGGAATATAACCTTTATATATAACTTAATCAAATAACAGAGCAGAGATTGGTGGCCTAGACCATACAAAGGCCCCGCACGCCATTACCGACCCACATCCGATAACTTCCATAGGATAGCATTATGGAAATTACGGTATTTCGGTAATGGCGTGCGGGGCCTTTGTATGGTCTAGGCCACCAATTGATTATCCTGAATTTATTTTAATTGTGTATGGTTTTTAATATTAAATCGCTGATTAAAACTTGTTTATACAATAAGGATGAACTACAAAAATTTTTTAAGATTAATACATGGTGTTAATTAATATTATGATCGAAAAGCCCGTGGTGCAAGACTTTTTGCGTCAACTGTATGACATCAAATACACCGAGATGGTTAAATTTAATTATATTTGGATGTTTTCTGCATCAATAAACCCTCAATTCATAATGTATAATGACACAGAAATTTCTGATGATTGGAGCATGGTGACTTTTATAATCGATTTTATTAGTTATTTGTATTATGGTAAATATAAGTTCCCCAATAACTATGCTAAACATTTTTGAATATGAGATTCAGTACATTAACGGCACGGGTACTGGAATTTACGAACATCTGTTATATGACATCAAATACACCGAGATGGTTAAATTTAATTATATTTGGATGTTTTCTGCATCAATAAACCCTCAATTCATAATGTATAATGACACAGAAATTTCTGATGATTGGAGCATGGTGACTTTTATGCGATCTGGGAAACAGACACATATTATTAACAAAATTGGATCAAGAATTCCCATCTCATTTACAACTGGGTATAAACTTAACACAAACGACAATTTGAACGACGTTTTCATCATGGACGCTGTTGTCAACGTATTTAACAGTAAATATGCATGCTCAATGTCATTTCTGTTTATATAATCTATTTTAAACATTTCTAAATACAGAAAAAAATGTAAAACTAAAAATTACTATGGTACCTATCGAAGAATACTCCATTGAAAGCTCCCTTGACCAAATCACTATACAACCATCAAATATAGTTAGTATTAAATTATACTGTAGAATGTAAAATATTTAATGTACTAATAATAATTATAATTATTTTAATATAAATATACTTTACTTTATAATTTGAATCATTTAACCTTAGGCGCTGAAAAAGGCATTAAAAACTGACATGATATTAACAAAAATAATCAAAAACAATGCGAACACCGTTTTGTGGGAAACAATTGAAAAGACCACTGAAATAACAGATAAGACAGAGATTTATGTGGAAAATGGTTTTGAATGTTTTAACACATCTCAAGTGAAAACGCGAATTAAGCCAAGCGTTGGCTTTTCATTATTTGGACTTTTCAGCGCTCAGGTGGGGGTCGACACGGAGTCCGATGCTATGGACGGCTTTCGTTTTATTCCAGATTTAATTACAATATAATAACCACTGATCCGCGCGAGAGAGAGAGAGAGAGAGAGAGAAAGATCGTGTTATAATAAGCATTTAAAAATTATTTAAGAAAATATTATTAATTTCTATAACGTAAAATTGAGATTGTAATTTTAGATTTAAATATCTTATTAATTATTAATTATTTAATACTTTTATTATCATTTCTACAATAAAACTTATAATATCAATTTTAATACATTTGTAATTTTTATATTATTTATTAATTGATAATATAAATTTTACTAAAGAATGAAAATGAATTTATTAATTATTATAATTATAAAATTTATAATACGTAAGAAATATATACATTAATTAAATTGACGTATTTATCAAAATGAGTATCAATTCCAGCGTTAAGTTTATGGACTGATGGCTATAACGGAAGTCACGCTTCGATTCATTTCTACCCCAATATAACTGCTATCGGGTGTGGAGTCGGGAGGAAAGGGATGCTTAGGGACAACACGTGCTTTACATACCATCCAAATAGTGATACAATGTTTGCCGGCATTCAAAACGGACGGGTAGTCCAGACCGGAGAACAGCCGTGGGCTGTGTTTATCACACATAAAAAGAAGACATAGTAAGTAATAAATTACAGGTTCTATCAAATTATTTTATTTGTTTTTAGTCGAGTTTTGCACACATTTCTACAACATTTAATTTTATATTATTTTTATGAGATAATTCTAATTAAAAGCTTACTGTACTTTCTCTCTCTCTCTCTCTCTCTCTCTCTCTCTCTCCACTCAGTTTGGCGTCATATAGTGGTGTAATATTAAATGAGCGATGGATCGTAACATGTGGCCACTGTTTATAGTAAAGTTTCTAAAATTGTTTTGGGAAATTATTTAGGATGTAATTTGTTGATCATTTTTAAGCGAATAATTTTTAATTGTTGGATGTATGTGAAACAGAATTTATTGATCTACAAAACTATACAATCCAATTGTCTGTGTGTCTTGTGGTTCCCGAGTAATCACTACCCGAGGAGGTCGATCTCAAAAATCCGTTTGGCACAATGACCATGACACTTTTATAAATCGAGATAATAAGATGGGGTAAAGGGATTTATCATATAGATTGGATACAGAAAATAATTATTTGATATAACAATTTGAGATAAATAATTTAATAGCCCCTGAATTCACTATTTAAAACATTTCCTCACTTTTATTTATCAAATTTATTGATTCCCATTGAATAACATGGCCAAACGAATTTGGGAGGTCGACCTCCTCGGGTGGTGATTACTCGGGAACCACATGACATACAGACAATTGGATTGTATATTTTTGTAGATCAATAAATTCTGTTTCACATACATCCAACAATTAAAAATTATTCGCTTAAAATGATCAACAAATTACATCCTAAATAAATTCCAAAAACAATTTTTAATTCGTTATGTGTTGTAAAATACCATTTACTAAATCACATTTTGAAATCAATTATCTTTAAGTTGTGGCACAAACTGTACGGCGACTGACATTCGTGTATATCCGGGGCTAACGAACCAAAAAACTGCAAATCATACCTACTATACGGGCGGTCAGTATTTCATTACACCCGAGTATGAGAGCAATCAGTGGCAACCCTTTGACTTGGGGTTAATTCGACTCAACACTGCTATACCATTGGACGGGACGTCAGGTGTGACGGGAATTAACGCCATTTGTTTGCCCGAAGAGTGGGCCGCGAATCAGAACGAAGAATACGTGCAATTGGTTGGGTTCGGGAAGGACAACGGAACGAGATCGGGAACACTGCGATCAGGTTATGCTAAAATGATGACAGCTCATCGTGATCAAATTCAAAATACCGCCCTTTCCATGCAGCGCATACCATTCCCGTCCGGTTCGGGCATTTGCCTTGTACGTTTATTCCCTTATCTATTTGCTTTTGTGATATAGTAACCGCCAATTTTATTCAAACATCAGATTATTTATGCATTTGTTAAGTTTATAAACGCTATTACATGGTATAAAGTTTATACATACAACTTGTATGATACAAGTGTATAAATAAATTCCAATGGGTTTCTACTCTAATTCTTAAATTATGTGTTTTTGATAATTTTTAACCACAATTCAGTATGAATAATGTGGTTTATAAGATAGTTTGGTCCCCTCCCCGTCCGCTCTATGGGATTTAACATAGGATCACAGTTTAAGTCTATGATTATACTTTAACATGGGTAAGCGTCCATAGGATTATCATGGAGACGCTTTAACATGGGTTTCTATAGGATTACAGCTTAAGTCTATGACATAGAAATAACATGGGAAATACTCAGTCTATGGGACTCATATTAAATCTGTAGATAATGCTAATCTATTCTTTGAGCAATACCCGAATTGTGATTAACGTATAGCATCGCTGTGTGTAAGTAGTTTTAATTTAAATATATATAAAACAACTAGTTTAAATCTAGATAGTTTAAAGATAGAAAAGTTTAAATTAAAACAACTAGATTAAGAATAGGAGTATTTCCCACTATGGAAATGGAATTATGCTCATGTCTGTATTATAAACTGTATAATACTGTTTTTAATATTTGATTTGAAAATTTGATTGTTTGGATGCGCTTTCATTGATGACCAGGGTGATTCCGGCTCACCCGTAGTTCAGTACGTCAACGGTGTGGCAGTGGTTATAGGCATTACAGTCAGTGCAACAATGGATACAAACAATTCTTGTCAGAAACTTACCGAAGAGGCGGGAATGACAGCAATTCGGGTCTCGCATCACATCCAATGGATAATCAATACCATATATAATAACACTAATTAGATAATATTTGTTTTAAATAATCAATTGTTAATTTAATTCTACATTTTATGATTTGGTAAATTAAGGTATAATTACTTTATTATATAACATTTTTAAGTAGTAAAAATTTAATAACTAATTTGTGTCAAAATATTTAGCATTATATCAATGATCAATAATTATTATAAAATACAGAGTTGTTATCATTGCTATTATACCGACGTTTCAAATAATTTTTTCTTTTTCTCCACAACAATATAATTACCACAACTATTAAAACACTAATTAAAGAAATGCATATCATTTCCAATGTAGAAAATGATAGCTTTGTCTCAATCGGTGGAGCGATAGTCGTTTTTATAAATTGACTGTTAGCTGCCGTTATGTTATGTGTTGTAAGAGTGCCCGCCGTTGAGGGAGGACTGGAACTTGTGGACAGTATATAATCAATTGTTACCGCGATTGTTTCATTAGGTAAAATTTGGACCTCCGTATAGGTCTCTAAGCCAAATGACGCCCGATATATGCCCTTTTGGTTTACAACAAGCGAGTGATTGTCAACAGTCATGTCGTGTCTGTGGCTGTATTTGCCGATCAGCACAAATAGTGTCAAACCATTTAAAGGTATATCCGGTTGACTATACCGGGGATCAGAGCCGGTAAATGTGCGAATGGCCCGAAACTGTAAGGCCATGTCTTTTACTGTTTTTATGTAACCCTTTACTGAAACACTATCGAAGGGTTTCACTTGTATTTGGGATCTTAATGTCACTGACTTTTGATGGGAATGACTATAAGAGTTGCCGTTTATTGAAAGCGACCGAAAGCCGTCCATAGCATCGG